TTTATGTTTGAAGCCTGAAATGTGGCAAAAGGTTGAAAAGTTCAAGGGGGCCGAATACTTTCGCAAGGCACTGTATACTGTATTTTCAAGAACTGTGCTTAAAATATATGAATATTAATTTAATTGTACTTTTTTCAGCTTTTATCTTTCAGAAGAAGAAAAGCACTATCATGGATATGAAGAGCAAGTGCAGAATCTGCTCAAGCCAGTGATGTTTCTCTTCACGTTTACTCTTCAATAGTAAAGTTAACTAACATTAGTGTGATACTCTATGAGTAATTTTAGAAATTTAGATTCCAGCAGAGTTTGTGCGGCCCATTTTTGTCCATTCACAGAGCTAAGGAGGGGGTGGTTAAGTCATCATCACACAAAGATACTGCTGCTATTCTTAGCACATTGAGAGGACAGTCTTATTGTGGCATTTTCTCATGCAGGGTCAAGTACATTGATGGATCTTCTTTTTATGCAAACTGTTGACTGTTGCCTCTTCTATCTTGAAATAACATGTCTATTTCTGGCCCATTTAAATCATGAGTGACGTGCATGCTGCCTCCCCTATCTATAATAAAAATGGCACATGGTGTGTTGACAAAGAATTGATTCTAGATTCTAAAGCCAATTAGAAACAGAAGACACAGGAAACCCTGATTATAATGAACTAATGGGGGAGGGGTGTATATTATTGACAACTTTCCATTAAATTATAAAAGACATTTTTTTCCACTCCCAAAACACAGTATTATATGAGAAAAATATGTATGTACTGTAGATAGCCTTTTGGCTTTTTTTACTTATTTTTATAAGGATTGCAGTTGACAGTCAATGAAAATTGTTCCTGTGGTTTTTGTATGATAAATATATAAGCTCTTTATTGCATGTGTTGTAAATATTGTACATTTTATAAAATTAGCTAAAGCGCATTCTTGAAACACAGGCAACAGCCATCATAAGCGACTGACCTAACCCTTAAGGGCACCACTAATATTCCTGTATTTTAAACCTATGCCACATCTATTTTGACCTTTTTTTTATTCGTGCAAAGTCAGGTATTACTGATTTTAAAGACAAAGCTCCCGTTTAGTATATTATGTCAGTGAAAACAAAGTCTGTTAAACCGAAGGTTTACTGTAAAGAGAAAAAGAAAAGTAGAATTAAAATCTGATAGTGATAAATGAACAGTCAATGAAAAGTATTTCAGGGCCGTTCTGTTTTTTTAAAACTTCTGTGGGATGATGCACCTTAAAGAGAAGGAATGTGGGTTTTAGTTAAAGTATTAGATATTGAAAGCTATGAATAAATCTGGTAATATTTGAAACTGGATGGAGGCTGTGGGTTTGAGACTGTGCATTTGCAAGTCAGACTGGTAACACCTCTGTTCAGAGGTTACAGAGTTGCACTTGAACTAGCACAGCCAGCCTAGGAGACTGAGGTTATGCTATTTTTCCTACGAACTCAGTGGACTCTGTTATAACAATACGTTTGCTTGAGTGCATCTTAATTAATAGCAATGGAGAAACGTGGTTGCTCATTGATGTACTGTAAACTGAGGAACACCTGTACTGTATAACTGTTTGAGTCATTTTTAAATACTCACTTATACTCAGGTGGAACAGAGGACATGGATAAAGGTAGTAGAGGTAATACTGTTGATGGGTTTGTGAAGACTTTTTAGTTATTGTAATCCCAGTAAAAATTATAATCCTAAACCATGCTTTATCAGTATTCCATATTATTTGCTTATTATTCATTTTACTTTAGTTTTATTATCAATCCAAGATATAAGCATAAGTGACCAAAATCCCTCACAAAAGTCTTCAATATAGAACTCTAATAATCTCTAATCTCATCCAGCTGTTTCTTGAAACAACAACATAGTTGAGTAGCTTGGGCCATACTCACACAACACAGTGGGTAAAGAACGTCCTCCTGTTTTTGGTTTTAAATGCAGTTCCAGGACCTTAAATGCCCTTACTTACTGTACATCTGTAGTTCCACCTGAGTACACACAAATCCTTGCTTCAGGTGCATTTACAGTACAATTATACTTACCACCATGTATTTGTAAGTTTAGGGTTAGACTTTCTCTTAAACGTAGGCCACAATTAATGTAACAGCGATGTTTTTATTGGGATCAAAAATATGAGCGATATTTTGTTCTTACCTTCAAATATTGTTGCAGGCTGGAGTTGAGGATAGAGTTTGTGTTAGGATTAAACACAGACAGAAGCCAACATCCAGCTCGTGAAAAACTTTAAAGATACAGTAAGCTTCAATCTCAACTCACACCATCCTTATGAAGTAATGTGAAATTCAAAAGTAACCCTGAATGAAATATCAATATACTGTATATGACAAAGTGAACACAAATCTAAAAAAATGGTCAAAATACAATGGTAATGTGCAATATTTATAAATTATATTAACAGCAGCATATTTTTAGTTTTGAAGTGGAGCAATGTTTAAGGTTCCCTTTAAGCTTTAATAAATGTTAAATCTATGCTTTAGATGCGGTTAAAATATAATATGAAGGGTGTTTTGGACTTGTCTTTATTTTTATTAAGTTTGCCGTTTTAATCTTTATTAAGTTACCTAAAATGCAACAGTCATAGCTGTATGGTATTTCTAACCCTAACTGTAACAACCCACTATGCTAAACCATAGACTTACTTGTAGTTTTCAATTATACTGGATTCAGTACCGATTTAATATCTCAACCAAGGACTTTTGAAGGACTTTTAAAAAGTATTACCACTATTACCTCTGGTACCTTTATCTACATCCCCGCATTTACCTGAGTATTAACCAACATACCAGCAAAAGTGACAAAAAATGATTAAGAAAGTCATCAAGAAGTAAAACTAATACATCCTACCATCTTCTGTTCCACCTGGGCGAGACTTCAGTTGTATTGCTGTGAGAGGAATGTTTAACTGGAAGTGAAATGATAAACGTTTCCCTCTGAACTCTCTTCACAAGGGCTGAACGTATAGCTACTGATTGCAAGGCTCACCTGAAAGCGATAAAATGTCCCATCATCCTTTAGTGTGAGGACATGGTCCGAAATGGGGAAGAAGTAACCCTGAGCCGCAATGAGGCTTCCTAAATGAATGGCTTCCACTGCAAAACAAGTTAAGATTTACATTTATAATCTCAGAACGAACAGGTGCCAATACTTCAGTTCTTAAATCAGTTGAATGTAGTGGAGAAATATGATCCAGAAACAAATGAGGGCTTATTGTCAAGGGGATTGTAAAATGAATCTACAAGTTAATTTCTATAAATAAGCATGAAATGCTTGGCTTACATTTGGCAGCCACAAATAAAAAAATACTAAAACTCTATGTAAAAATGAAAATGAAACTTTGGTTAAATCAGTGAGCTTGGCTGGTCTGTTTCAGCATCCCTCATAATGTAAGACAGAAAATTTACTTCTCACTTATGTGGAAAACAGAGTCAATGTGCTTTGCCAAATGCAAAGAGATAAAGCGTTATGTCAGATTTTGAAAGGAAACAGATCTCTTTTAATTATTGTTAATGCCTGTAATTGTTAGACAATATTCTTACCTGGATCTTCAATATTTAAATTTTTCATGAGCCACTGGACAATGTCCGCACCTAATAATGACAAGAATGAGAACTAATGTCAACAACCATCCTGATTAACAAAAACTGATTAATTATGTTCCATTATATCAGTTACTACTATTTGATATAATTTTATACTATGATATAGATACTGTATAATGTTATATATAAATATGTCTATAATATCTATATACAGTACAGTAATATGTACTGTATATATATTATATAGATACTGTTATTCTACTTATACCTATTCAATTAAATGACTTTTATACCTATTACTTATATACCTTATATACCTATATACACCTATTAAAGATCGATATTGTTACTATATACAGAAATGACAACTCATAGAGTGGTGCATGAATACCTTGCAAGAAAGATACTGTAGAACTTGCATTACAAAAACAACCTCAAGGTTTCTAGAAAAGTGCCCTCATTATTCAGGACATTTCTGTGAAACATAACGGTCATCTATAGGTTATTTTCATAAGGGTTAAATCCGTGTCTGTTGGGTACCAGTTCTGAACCTGGATTCACTGTATTATTATATTTAAAGTTCTGGTTTTCTCCCATGCTGAACAGAGCGGACATGGTTTTCCACATTTGATCAAGGGACATTATAATCTATACTTATAATTAAAATATTAATTCCATTTAAATACCGGAGCTATTGATTGGAGTGCTTGGAGTTTCTAGACCTTAAATTTAATTTACTGTGAGAGGCAAATTAAGGAATTAGACCTTGAATGACAGACATTTCCTGACAAGAGTTAAGAAAAATAAAAATCTGTGTCTTAGGTGACATCTCTTAATAACTAAACACATATTAGAACGAAATTGGCCATTTTGGGGCCACAATCAAACATAATATCTAAAGGATATTAATACCAGTTTATCTTTTGATTCTTATACAATTAATCTCAACATGATATAATAAATGTACTGAAAAATATTTAGCCTTACACCATGGTAAAACACTTGAGTGAATGCTGTTTATGAAGCACTTAAACTGAAAAACCCTGTCAGTTTTCAGGGTGCATTAAAATGCTTAGAATGGCTTTCCAATTATCAAGGATATGTTATTATATCTGTGAAGTGCTCTAAAATGCTTTGACATTAGGAGAACAACCGGAAAAAATGTAATGTGGCTTAGCTGGTACGGCATGCAAAAGAAAGGATTGTGATTGACAAAGCAAAACAATTTTCAGACAAAACAGTAATGTGTATTGCTCATGGATAGCCTCTGTTATCATATCTGGGCAGCATAAGAAACTGAGCCAGTATGAAATGAAGAGAGCAGTAGATCAACCACACAGAAAGAGAGGTGAGAACATTGGCAAATAGATCCCCTGGTGTTCCTGTTGACTCAGTTAGGTCATTCATTTTTCATAAAAAGTCTTAGTCATGCAGTTACCTTTTAACCATGACACCAGATATACAGTATAATTATCTTTGCTTCACAGTAAGAGCAATAACATTATATTAGCACTTTGGCTGACCAAGCATCTAAATGTCATTATTCTGAACTTGCATCTAAAATTGGCAGTAATTAAAGTGGTTCAGAAATGGATTGGAAACATTACAGTGAACTTAAGGGAGACACAGCTCTTACACTTTGAAGGTAATCTTAGTTGCAGAAGTCCAGAGGGAAGAGTTTATTGAGCTCATAGTACACTTTAGAGTCTGGTGTCTGCTTAGGAGTTTTTGTTATGGCAAATCCAATATTTTTTAATCCAATTTTGATTATTGGAATTTTAGTTAATTCCAAATACACCAGCGTCTTGAGTGTGCTGTTCAAAGCTTTGGTGTTTTAGTCTCACTGTTTGGCATAATGTCTATAGAGCTGAGCTTAAAGCAGGTGCATTTGTTTCCGCCTCAAGCATTGAAATGCTATTATGTGTATTTTCGTGTAGTAATTGCTTTTATTATTATATCCATTGGGATATTGTGTGGTGAATCATTTGTATTGGGCAAATACATTATACTAATTTAGTTAAATGTGTGTTCTCTGGTTTAGGAATGATGCACTGTAAAATGGACTCTGGGAAGTTATCATGGTTTAAAAGGCCTTTTTACAGGGTAGTGATGCATTCAGTTCCTGTCTTCTTACTATTCCACTGTGTCTTCTGTAAAGGTTCTCAAAGATAGACTTTCTGTTTTCCATATCTGACAATGTAAGAAACGAGTATATCAAACTATCTAATTGTAATAAAACTGGGGAAACATTAGTTTTATTTTATTTTTTTTGTTTGTTTCATTGTTGTCTGTAATATAGGATGCAATGGAGGATGCAAAATGTGAATATCCATTTTTTGCTAATTCCACTTGTTTTCACAATGGTAGTTTTTATTGTTTGTAGAAGAAGGGTGAGTAGACATCCCAATAATATGGGATCAGGACAGTCCCATGTCCTGATTAATGTTTAAGACCAAAGCCTAAAATGTTGTGTTTTACTTGAAAAGTTAACAAACATCACTCAGAAAGAGAAACAATAAAATAGCAGAACTACACAATACACAACAATACACAACGTTACACAATATGTACATGTCTATGTTTTCCAAAGGAATATGTCATACAGACCTAATGTAGAAACCCATAATTCTATCACTGTAATCTAAAATCAGTATGCAAAACCTAAACAGGTTGAAAAATAAAAATATCTTGCATCCAGAGAACCTAAACAGAATAAAATCTCCCTTCCTACACTATGGATACCCAAACATAAATGGAAATCAATATTGTTATTCTAAAAATGCTTTACCAATCTAGAAGAGAATGTTTTTTAACTACTGTATACTAAATCATCAGAAACATGCGTGGATGATCTGTGATTACCTGTCTCTTAGCATACAATACCTACTACTGGCAAACACCTGAAACGATACACAATATTTAAAGCTTTCTGAAAAAGACCTTGAGTCGTGCAAGATATGAAAAGTAACACAACTTTGGTACCCAGCCTGGCCATAACAATATTTATCAGAAATATGATTATTTCACAAACACCTCTCCTAGAGAGCAAACAAGAATTAAATGTGCACCAGAATTAGTGACATACTGCATCACAAACACACAAGCAAAAATATGTCTACGATCTTCTAATTCCTTTCACTATGTAAGGATTAATGATTGATTTACAGGATAAGCCTCGTGCTGAGTGGTTATGTAGAAGAACCTACTGTAGCTACTACGGAAACTGCAAAAAACAAACACATTTTAATGCCAGGGCAATATGGCTTCAAAAAGTAGATTGATTCTCAATTAATATGAAGGTAACGGAGGTCTACATACAGTATCTATTGCTATATAAACAGCTGTACAGTGCTGTACAGTGTACAGCACTCATGCTTCATTTTGTATAGAGACATATCAATCGCATATTAACATTTCTTACAGTCTGCACAAAATATTGTCTTTCTAAAAATATTATCTTTAAAAAATTATGATCTGCATAATTATTTGTGTAGTTTACTGCAAAACACATCGCAATGTAATGCATAATAGCTCTGGGAATCTTAGACAAAACACTTTTCACTGTTCAGATTGATATCCATCTTGCCTTTTCATGTTAAATCCAGGATTTGGGAGGAGAAAAATAGATTTCTTAACATCATCAATGGCTAAGATCCAAGCAAAAAAAAACAGCAATTAGATAGCTAATATGGCATTAAAACCAAATGTTTCTTTGGTCATCCGCTACATGATATAGTAAACAGATGTTTCCTCAGATGGTCTCAGAACAATGAATATTTATAGGCTCTTTTTCAGTACATACAGTAAATAAAATGCATCCAGAAGGAACTGCAATCCACAAATTTAATTTGAGTAATTTTAGCCATGGGGCTGCTGCAAGGGTGAAGATGGGGTGCAGGGAGGGCTTTGACAAAGAAACTCCAGAAAGGGGCTCAACATCTTAACTGTCTATGAGTAGGAGAGTGGAGGTAGGCAAAATTAGGAAATTGACCTCCTCCAGAACATCTGTTTGGGAGGCGACCTCGATTACATGAGTGGTCTTTGGAAGATACTTTGCTGACCCAGAAGGAGTATGAAAACTGAGGATGGCTTGGTAGCCTGATGCAGAATTACTGCTAGTAACTGTAAAAAGTTTAGTTTTGCCCTGTTGCTCCTGTGGGTGTTCTATTGATGTGATGTCAACCACCAACTCTCCCTTACTTCCACCTTCCACTGCTTCCACTCATGGCCCCTGAAGGCACCATAGCTGTGAATGAGGACCCTGGATCAAGTGACGATTGGTGTTGCACGCTCTTGCCAATGCAGTGGAGTGAGTGTCAGTGGCTGGAGCAAAATCCTACGGGGACAGCAGGAAAGCAGGACTGGGGAACGGTGAGACACAAAGACCAGAGATACAGTAGGTTGGGGTTGATGGTATGTTGGGCTGGACACTCAATGATGAAAGAGGGCTGAAAGGAAATACAGAAGAGAGCACACAAGTGGGAAATGCAGAAAGTTTGACAGGAGGAAAGATGGGAGTGAGGAGAGGAAACAGCTGTGGTAGGTCCCAAGCCCTAAAGAGGGGTTGTAGCATCATAAAGAGGTGGAATAGAAGACCAGCTACCAGGGGGGGCTGTGGTGAGCTGGTTGCTGTGAGTGGCTGGTGAAGTACAGGGTGAAGAGCTACTTGTCTGAAGAGAAGTGGAAAGGGTGGCTTCTGAACCTGCCTGGAAGAGGAGCATGGTGGTCCGTCAGCCGAGATTTGTCCTAATGGAAGATGGCAAGCACAAGGAGAAGACGGGGTGGAACCCAAGTGACGAGCATGGGGGATGTGCAGAACAATGAATGAAAGGTAAATGAAAGGTCTCTGTCAAGAGCAGGTTCAAACTGTAAGAAAAAGTGTGAGATATTTATGCTTAGGAGACCAAGGCAAGGAATTTGACCTCCTCATTAACTTCTTTTAAAAACACTATAAGATGCATGCAGAACTAGACCAACACCTTCACATCCCTCACCGTAATTTGTTGCAGATCAATTGAAAAAGGGGAGACACAAATGCATATTTTCAGAACACACAAACTAGGATGCAGAATAAACACTTGTCTTGTGGCTACCTGTAACAACACTGGGAATCTTGGACAAAAAACTCTTCACTGTCCGAATTGGCACGCCCCCTGCCTTTTCATCCTGTATCTGGGTAATAATGTCCTCAATCTGCAGAAGGAAGAGAAAGACAAAGAGAATCAAATGAACATTCTCAAGTTTCACTCTTGTATTCCATATTCCTCTAACTGGGATGGCTTGGATACTGTAAACTAACAGATAGGTGTTGACCAATCATTACTCCAGCTACAGTAACAGCAGAGGGGCAAGGTTAATAGATGAATGAAGTGTATTGTTGCATTTCAAAAGATTTAAGCAATAATTTTATAATTTGTATTCTATTCAAATTTCATTTTATTTTGCCTTTGCTTTTACTATCACTCATTTTCCATTTTGATTGTGAGAAGCACCACACGTGTGTATTAGTAACTATGGAGACCACAAACACATTCAATTGTGAAAATCTCATAGAGAGTGTCAGCTACTCTGAGTGATTAGCTTTATATGTAATGAATAAAATATGATTGCATGGTTCTGTTTACCATGGTGTTGCATGGTGGTGATGAAGCATGAGGTGAAGCCAAGTGAATTTAAAACGCAGTAAGTGATAAGTACAGTGTAAGTACCCCTTATGCTTTCTCTAATAAAATGGAAACCTTGATAAAAAAGACTTAACCTTAACGAAGCCCAGTTAAAATGCTGCAAAGCACGATAAAGCATACATGGGTTTGCAAGAGACCATGGCACACCAAATTAAATGTGTGGTGTAATAATGGTGAAACTACAGGAAGAGAAAATATAAGTTTGACATGGCAAATCGTGATTGCACTGTACTGAAATATAAAATGTACTAAATTAGCTGACACTTGTGGTAAACGATACAAGTCTTAAAACTGAATTAAAATAATTAATTGTCCACAGTGCACTTCCAAATGAATAAACCACAGATAGGGACTGAATTCTGTAATGTTCAGGTGTACAGTGATTTGCAGTGTATGAAATGTTTATGAAAATGGTACACTATACTGGTGGGTCACATTTTATATATATACAGTACACACTGAATGTGACAGTTTGCCAATCACAAATTGCTGAAATCAGCTCATATTGTGCTTCCAAGTTTGACATCTAAGTTTGACATCTAAACAACAAATATTCTATTGAAGTTATTCCTTATTACAAGACTTAATTGAGCTATGTCTACTACTACTCTATGTAAGATAATTTTCTAAAATATTGTTTTACTGCAGAAAATGTGCTGCAGTTCTACATTACAGGAAGCTAATATAGGATATTCTGACTTCTTGAATGACCACAACTACTGCTGTTAAATCACCTATTCCCACACTTGCAAATATTAAATGCTCATCACTTCTAAAGGTGGTGCAGAAGAAAATAAATCTAGAAATACAACTATTCTGAACAGTGTTATTATTTCACTCCTCACTAGTTCTATTCAATTCAAGTAAGAGGCAGAGTGAATGACACTTATGCCTTGTTTCCAGCTGGCTCTGTAAGCAAGTTAGTGCTTTGTGAGATCACCTAGTGCCATTCTCTCAAGCCCCACATAATTGTGGAAGTACTCTGAAATGACACTCAGACATTGCGAGTTTGGCTACAGTTAGAAAAACTGCTTGGATACAATTAATGGAAGATGCCATTCTTATCACATTTAAAGTATTTACATTCTCCATTATGAAATATTTTTTGTAAAACAATGTGGCATAGTTTTTTTAAATAAAAGACTGGCACCCTGTAACCTTTAAGAAAGTATTTGGCATCAGTCAGTTTTTTCCTTTTGGTAGAAGAAGGGAGAAAAAGGACTATGATCATTAAAAAGATGGCGAATTACACTATTTTATTGTCAGTTATAGGATGGCTCTAATGTTGCATCACATTTGAAAAAGCTAAAACTTAAAATCACATAAATCACTATTCATATTCGAAGATTAACTGTATATTATTTTATTTTCTCATTAGTCTATACTGTAGGTTCACTGAAGAGCAGGTCCAAATGATTAAACTTGCCAAGAATGATTGTTCAGTTGTTCTTATCCTTTTCAGAGTTAGGCTTCAGCTGTATTATCTGCACTCTACCTTATTATGAATACTAGAGTCTTTTGCCACAGTTTTGAATTTTAGTGACACTAAAGCACATGCTCTGACACTTACAGAAGTAAGGAAGATACATTTTATACCAGATAATTTGAGTAAAGAAAGTATTTTAAACAGTTTTTGTCTTCATTTATATGTAATTCTAACATGTGTTAGGCTTTAAAAAATAACCTTCACCATGGAACTGGAAAGCAATGGATACTAGTGTCTGCTCTTGACTTCAGAGATGGTTAAATGATTTAACAATGCTTTGGAAACACCCCAGGTTTTCTTGTGTGAAAACAGTGGCACGACCATCACAGCATTTTACAGAGAAAAAGCAGGTAATGAGGCTTGATTTGTACTTGTCTGAGTCCATTTTTCAGGGAGGAGTCCTGTGGCAGTTCCTTAACATGTTCCCAACTATCAGAACCTACCAGTCTCCTCTTTTGCTCCATTTAATTCCATCTTTTCATTATCACCAGCTGTGTAATTAAAGAGTGATTTTTGGAGTGCTTAAAGTTCATGTACCAATTTGTTGCAATTACACACTCCTGACAAATTTAATTATGATGGCACTAATTCAATAATAATAATATTAAAAAAGATCATTAAAGAAGGTTTAATATAGGCCAAAAAAAGTTACAGCAATTCATTAAGATTAATTTACACAGAGAGAAGTTTAGCTTTAATTTTTCAATTATTAACATCATCACAATTCATTAGAACATCACAAATTCCAATCATATCATTTTTATGTTGAGTGCTTTTCATATTTTCAGTATAATTTTAACTTAAAGGAAGAAAATTGCCAAATCATACAATGATTTATAATTATGAATTTCTAGTGATTATAAAGTATAGTGATAATGTAGTGTATATATTTTGGCAGTCATGTAATTCATGAAAAGCTGCAGCCTCTTAAATTAAATTAAAATTTTAAGTGGATTATTTTTTTCATGGATGATAACACTGGTTATCAATTAAGATTTCCTCATATTTTGATAAATCACCAGGACAGATTTGATTGATTCCAGAGCCTACCACAACAACAAACCTTACATTTACTGTGAGCTGATGTCTCTACAACTGACTAGAGTATTAGTTTTCAGTTTTTTAGCATCGAAAATCTATTTATTTCCCATGGTCCAGACTGCACATTTCACCAGACTTCTTATCAGGAATACCAGTAACGTGGCAACAACTGGAATAGCAAAACAAATAAGGCAAGTTGTCACAAAGATTCCCGGAAGGTTGAGATAAAAATCACACCTTCTTTAGATACATCAGTCCAGTTATTATTGCAGCTTCAGATAGGACCTAAAATTAGGTACGCCCCAGCATGAGTGATGAAGGGTAGCATTCACAGAGCACGAGTAGGGAAGAGAATAATTTCATGTGATGAATACACACACCATGTAAGCTATACTCATAGAAAAAGGAGAATGAAGCCTCTAACTGACTTGAAACTAAACTGCTTCCCTCTCACACCCCACAACTGACGAGGCCTGACTTTAGAATCTGATACTAATCTCACACCAAGCTAACTTGACTATATACAGTATTGTAGTAGGTCACACTGAAGGTGGCCACCTTCATTTTATGAAAAATTGATTAATTATGTCTTGCTCTAGTTTTAGAAACCATTAACTAAAAGGAACAACAACATTTATTAAACATTTTCATGCTGAATAAGTATTCCATATAACACACATCAGGGAATGTTATAAACTCTGTAGCCTTCACACCTGAATATTTGAATAACAAAATTAAAATAAATCCACAAGAATGACATTGTCAAGGATTCTGAAAGAGGTGAGGTGTTGGACCCCTGTGCAAAGCTGTGAGGAAGGTAGTATGAGCAAAATGAATTCCAATATTCGAAATCCAAGTTGTTAGGCAAGACCGAAGTCGAAATTAGGAGAACCAGGTCGGGTAGTGAAAGGAGCCAGGTCGAGAATAGTAGCGTGCACAAGAAAAAGGTGGGGAAGACTTCTCAATAGTTAGCGTAGGTAAGCCGATGAAGAGTGTTTAAATATCAAATATATATCTAATCGAATATCAAATATCGAAATATCGAATATCGAGACGTGGTTGGATAATTAGTTCCTGGATGAGCGGGTGTGGAATCTAGTACATGTGGGAATGCCAGGGCATTTACTAGAGAAAGTACAAGTCGTGACAGACATTAACAAAAAAGTAGCAAGTAAAATAAACACATACAGACAGAATTAACAAGTTGTTCTTGCAATGTACATTTCATTTTACAGAAACAAATTATCCTGCTTTCTGACATAAAACAAATGGTATCGGACTGAAACAGTGATAGATGTTTTTTTATTTTCAATATTCATATGTTTCATGACAAAGGTTTTACCATGCACATTCATCCAAAGCAAGGACTCAAAATAGATGTCCATGAGGTATTTTTATGAGTATTTACAATGACAATATATTATTGCAATTCTGTGAGAGCTTGCCATGGTTCATTCAATTTCAGTTCAGTCATGATGGTTTTTCATTAATATTAGGAGCACTTCATACAAGTTTAAAACCTGAGGTAAATGGAAAATTGGCGAGAATGATTGATAAGGATGTATTTCCAGGTACTAATACATTGGGATCAGAAAACACTGATATGGACAGATTTCCCTTATTTTAATTTCACTCACTCTACTTTGTACAGCTACGGGAGTAAACATCAAGACACATGCATTACTGGTTAAACTAGATATCCCCATAGGTCTTTTTGTGTTTGTCATCATATGTTTTTCTTAATCAATAGAACTAAAAATGAACAAAGAATTGAAGGTAATGCTAGAGCACGTTGCACTCATATGCAGACTTTTTAAATTTCATTGAGCTGTCTGCGGATCAATTTAATTCCTTGAGAGGAAATGGTACTGTCTCCTGTAGTTGAGTCATTTTTTTCTTTTTGGACTCCCTGTATTGCTAGTGGCACAAATCCAAATTCAGTTATGTGGTTTGAGTCTACATTTTAATAAATAATGTGTTCA